AGAATCATTTCACGTGCTCGCTCAGTGTTATCATCAGTCATGAACGTGGATAGGTGCTTTAATATAACTGGAGTGCAGATAACCTTTACTCACCTTCATATATTTTGTTGTTGTACATTTTTTATTTTTGCTTTCTTCATTTGTGAGATATAAAATGTCAATGGGGAGCCACAGAGAAGAAAGAAGACAACTGTTGTTGTAGGAAGGGGATTGTAATCATTGAGGTGAAACAGAGTAAAGCTGACAATTTTGTCTACAAACTTTTACTCAATTTACATTAATGGTTAAAGATAAATGAAGTAATACATAGACAACTCCCCAAAAATATATGTATATTTCTCATTTGAGATCAAAAGAGCATCAAAGAGAAAGTTCAGAAGGATTTGGAACTAATGGAAACAGGAAACACAGGTAGAAGGTGGGGGTGGGGGTGGTGTGTGATGGAGTTGGTTCTGATAGTGTTTCTGAGGCTGTACATCTTTACAGGAGCAGAAAAACCTCATCTTTCTCTCGTGGAACCACTGGTAGTTTTGAACTGCTGACCCTGAGGTTAACCAAGCTGACTGTAAACCAGTATGCTACCAGAGGTCCTTGAAAGAAAGGAAGATAAGTGATATTTCATTGTGGTGCTCACAATTAATGAGATGAAGCACAACGTATATCAATTGTTTAATGGGGGGGGGGGGGATGCTGTAACCTTGATGGAGCTTATACTGAAAAACAAAAAAAAATGTATTTTTAGCTTTATGTTCCATTTTCTACAAATTTTTAAAAACACGATTTATTGTAAATAGAGTGATTAGAGAGCACAGCATCAGATTCACATTCAACAAATCAGATACTTTGTTTCATATCAACAGTTACAATCCCCTCCATGTAACAGCAATTATCCCATTTCTCCCCATGAGTCTTGTTTCCATCCAATCTTCTTTTCAAACCATCTGCACTGTGTCCTTAAGGAAATGCTGCCTTTTGGTCTCCAGAGGTAGACTCAACTGCTATTGTCAGTAGTAATGTGGTTCCCACTATATGCCTACTTATTCCTGGACTGGAAATTGAGCCACATGGGTGAGTTCAGTTCCAGACCACAGGGCAACCAAGGGCCATAGTCTTGGGTTCTTAAAATCCACTTGTACATTTTGCTATCTTCTTATCTGAAGTTTCTGTTTGCTTGATTTTTACCATCATTATGGAATGTGTCAATTTCTTATATAACACATTAACCTTGGTTTTCACGTCTTCTTCCTGAAATACAACTTTTAATCATTCCTTTAGTGTGGACTGCTAGTAATACATTTTTTTCAGCCTTTGTTTAAAAAAGTTTTATTCTGCCCTTCATATTAAATATTTAAGGTCACATAAAATTCCAAGTTGATAGTTGTTTTTACCTTAGCAGCATTTTGAGAGAAAACTGTAATGTCTTCACACTGATAGTGCCTAGATCAGCAAATCATCTAACTGCTGTTCCTGCAAAACAGCTTCGTTTTCATACAGAAAAAAGAAATCTTAAGAATGTCTTTGTGTTTAGCACGCTGGGATTATGCTAGATGCTGTTGTTGTTGTTGTTGCTGATAAGCACCACAATGTCACTTCTGACCCACAGGGATCCTGTGTAGAGTTCCCAAGGATTTAGAACTATATTAATAATTAGTGTTCTGTTTAGCTAACTGAGTAGTTTGGGGACTTGTGTCTTTCTTCAATTCTGGAAAATTCTCAACTAGACTTTCTTTAGCATTTTCTTCTCTCCCATTCTCCCCATCCACTCCCTTTTCTCAAGACCCTAGATGTATCTGTGACCAACTTGTCCATCCACATTTTTCAATATCTCTGTTACAGTGAGGTAACTCTGTTGGTACTAGCTTTCATCATAAACCTTTAAAATTAAATCTAGCATCCAAAAATTTTTTTTAAAGTTCTATTTCCAAAATTTCTAATGGGCTCTTTTTATATTCATTATTCTTGTATAATTTTTTACCTGTTACTTAATAATTTCTTATACTCTTTTATGGACTTTACTCCTTAATTCATCACTCTCAACATAACAAACACATTTATTGTAAAACTTTTCTTTGTCAAACATCTTCTTACATGGTCTATCTACATGGATAATCTGCTGATTCTGTTAGCTCTCTTTCTTAGCATTAGATTGTTTCATAGGTTGGTTTGCAGACTCACTTTAGGAGGGTGCTGTTTGGTGCTTCCTGCCTGCCACTCCCTGACTAGTGTGGAACAAGGGCTGGCTGGGACTGCTGCCCCTGGAAGACTGTGAGATTGGAGGCTGAGTCACCAAACTGAGAAAATGCCAGGTTTAGCACTGGGTTGCAAGGTCTACCAGCTGTGCTTGGCTTCCTGGTCATGAGGTCGCATAAACGGTTGACCAAAAACTGTCTTTATCCAGTGTCTTTGAAGAACATGGGAACCATCCCCTCTCCTCCAGACTCTGACAGAGGATCATAGCCTTAGCCCTTACATTCCACAGACTAGAACAACCAAACTGTCTGGGCAGCTTTTGTACCAGTAACCCAACAGACACGACTTCAGCACTATTCTGTGTCTTGTGAACACATTTGTTCTGGGTGGTAATCAGCCAGAGTCCTTTTTAGTTTTCTAGTTTCATATGCTGTGTGGAGAATCATTAAGATTGCATTAAAATGGGCCCAATATCAGGGAACTGTTTAACAATACACTCCCTAAGCAGTTGGCCAGAATTTCCATTCAACATGGCTACATGCTGGATACACCTTCGTTTTACCAGTGCTAGGCTTGCTACCTTCTGCGTATCTCACACCCAAAAGAGGAATGAACTCTTGTCTACAACATTCCTGGCATGGCACTGTATGATAAGCACTGGATTGCTACCCACAAGGTGAGTGGCTCAAACTCACCAGCAACTTCTTGGAAAACCCTGTACATGGTCACTATGAGTCAGAGCGGACTTGACGGCACTTAATAACAACAACAACAGGCCCACTCTACCTTCTGTGAGGTAAGTCTCCTATAATGGTACTGGCTCAATATCTATGGGTTATTTGAGTGCACAATTTCAAGAAAAAGGATAAGACGTAAGTTTACAAAGTCTTTTTCAGCGTAAGTTAATTTTTCTAATTCTCAGACTCCAGTATGAACAAATAGATTTTTATATGTGCATGAATAGAACACTCAGATTATTTCCATTTAAATGAAGTTTAAAATTCATCTCGTTTCAAGACCAACATTAACGGATTGATTTATCTTTATCTTGCAACAGCTCAATTAAATGTTCTCTAAAACGTTTGTTCCCTAAAATTATGTTTGATTTGAAAAAATCCTGATTGACTTTACTTTTAATATTTGAGAAAAACATCTCTCTCGTAGTCTAAAAACTTGTTCTTGACACAAATATAACAATATTCTAAACTCCACTCTTATATTCCCTTTAAGAAAAAACAGATTCTAAAAAAGAGAAAAATATTTGATTGTGATTATCTTCGTCGATTTCCTTTCACTTAACTGACTTCAGTGAAGAGAACTTCAAAATCATTTTGTATGAATTATTTCAGGATTAAATATAAAGACAACTTGACCCTCTTTCACTGGATCTCACCATTTTTACATGGTCACATTCCAGCTTTTACCTCTGCTAAGCTGAATCTCCTTTCATCATTTTTCAAACCTCTGATTATTCTAATTCCCACCAGTTCCTGTATTTAGACTCCTTAATATTCTAAATGGAGTCCTGGTGTGGCTCTGTGGGTTAATGCACCAGATTGTAAAGTCCTTTGAACAGTAAGGTCGGTAGTTCAAGCTCACCAGCTACTCCTTGGAAATCCTATACAGGGTCACTATGGGTCAGAATTGACTTGACAGCATTTAACAACAACAACAACAACAATATTTTAAATGGAATCCTGGTGTGACACTGGGATACAAGCACAAGGTTGGTTTGGACCGTAAGGTTGGTGGTTCAAGCTCACCAGCTGCTCCTCAGAAACCCTACATAGGGTCACTATGAGTCGGAATTCCAACCTGACATCACTTTACAACAACAACAATCTAAATAATCAGGCATACACTTGCTTTCCTTTTCATTCCATCCTCAGGACCAGTTCCGTTTCCTAGACTGTCCATTTAATAGCAACACTTTCATTTATTGGAACTACATTACTAGCTCCTGCACATTTTGCCTCTTCCTTTTCCACGATGACTGTACTAGACATTAAGTAGAAAGAATCATAGAAAAGGTAGGGGAGGGCCCAGAGTACACGTATACAAAACAAGTATGATTGCAAATATAAAAATGGGGAGAGATTCAGTGAAAGAGGGTCAAGCTGTCTTTATATTTAATCCTGAAATAATTTATACAAAATAATTCTGAAGTTCTCTTCACTGTTAAGTGAAAGGAAATCTATGAAAATATCACAAACAAATATTTTTCTCTTTTTTAAAATCTGTTTTCTTTTAAGGGAATATAAGAGTGGAGTTTAGAATCTTATTTTATTTGTGTCAAGAACAAGTTTTTAGACTACGAAACATAAGCTGTCCATCATTCATCATTCTTTAATGGTGGTTTGCATGTTGTTACAATATTGGACTATGGCACTGGCATTTCAAATGCCAACAGGGTTTCAGGGGAAGTTCCAGACTAAGACAGACTAGAAGAAATACCTGGTGTCTACTTCCAAAAACTAGACATTGAAAACCATGTGGGTCACAACAGAACCCGTCCTACTTGCTTGCTTTGGGTGTCAGTAGTGGAGGACATGATGTTTGTTGAAGCAGACAGCTGGCAGGGATGAGCAAGACCATCAGTGAGATGGCTTGGCTAACCAGTCATAATGCAGTAACAGACTCAAACATGTTAGCAATTATGAGGCTAACACAGGATCTAGCATCGTTTACTGTATTAAGGTTGCCATGAGTCTCAGTCAAACCGACAGCAGCTTGCACAACAACAACAGCACTGCTGAAAAGTCAGAGTCAGGAGAAAATGTGCCTACACGTCATTTCTATTCGTTTCTTACCTTGGTGAGTTGCAAGTTGGCTAGACTGTGCTGGGAAACCAGGTTCTGCCAGATCTCTTTGACTGTGAGAAGTCTGCTCAACTTTATCCTAAAAAAGAACAAGAGCAGAGAGGCTAAGGTTAAAAGAACCATTTTACACTTTTCAACATCCACTATTCTGGCATGTCCTTCCTTCCAATGTATCTGCTTTTTTTAGTTTTAAATGACTGTTGTTTAAAATATTCTACAAAAGGAAGTTAATCACACAAAGGTGCAATCTGCTTGGCGAGGGAATTAGAAGAAGAGTTACTCCTGCATCCTGACTTAAAAGCTTTCCTGAAGAGCAATTCAGAAAGAACTACCGTCCATTCAGCTGCCTGGTTTTGGCAATGAAAATAACCAACGAAACACATGCATTTTCTAAAACAATGACTGGTCAAGAGTTGGCAGGCCTGCTCATACTCAGTTGCATTATTCAGACGTAAGGGTGAGGGCAAAAATTCTCAGTAAAACTTAGACAGCAATATTATGAGCAAGTCCACTACTCTAGAAAAAACTTTCATGGAATATAATCAAGCCAATGAAAGTTCTATGAAGAAGTGGGGAAAGAAAATGTGGCTTGTACAATGTATTTGATTACACCAAAATACAAAATACAAAACAAAAAACAAAAAACAAAAACCCCACATAGAGTCTAGTGCTTAACTTGGAGAGGGAATTTTCTGTACAGATTTCTAAAGCATGTGAAATTTTTAAACTGTGAATGTCATCCCTTTGTAATTAGAGCGCGAAATCTACAAGAGCTGTAGGAACTGTTACCATTTTCAACAACTTCATCCCAATTGTTGCCAAAGGCCCTAAAACTGTTGCATATGGAATAGACCAAGGTTCTATACTGCCAATAGCCAACACTGACACAGAGCTTCCTCTGTCAGGTTCAGGATGAGTCTGCGTTTTAAAGATAAGGAAACTGAAGCACAGCTAGGTCTGTTGTTGCTGTGAAGAGCCATGAAACTGGCTCTGCCTCATAGTGACACTGTATAGGGTTTCTGAGGTTTCACTTTTCACTATTGCAGAAAGCCTCATAGACCAATAAGGGCAGCGCTGGAACTAAAACCCAGGTGACTTCATTCCCGAGCGCACATTCATTCCCATACACATTACACAGCTCAAGCTGTTCAGCCAATCTGCTGCCATCCAAGTGGACTCCAACTCATGTGGACCTCATGTGTGTAAGAGCAGAACTAGACTCCACGTGTGGGTTTATTATTATTATTATTGGGTTTTGCTTGCTTTATTGTGTTTCAGGTGAGAGTTTACAAAGCAAATTAGGTTCCTCTTTAACAATTGTTTTTTTGTCCTAGTGTGGCACTGTGGGCTAATGCATCAGACTGCAAAGTCATTTGAATTGCAACATCAGTAGTTCAAGCTCACCAGCTGCTCCTTGGAAACCTTATACAGGGTCACTATGGGTCAGAATCGACTCGACGGCACATCAACAACATTGTGATTTGAGTGATAGTCTACATGACAGAATATCAGTTTTGCACTCAACTAATCACATCTGTTTCAGTGCAATGATCACAATCCCCTCCGTGTGCCAATGTGCCATTGGTTAACAGTACTTCTATTCCCTTTTTTTTTTTTTTTAAATACACAAAAACACAGAAATATCTAATTGTTTAAACAACCAAAGGTCACATTTGGCTGACCAGCCCCCTGCCTGTCAGCACACACAGTCTTTCTCTCTGCATGAATCTAGAGTCCTCAGATGCTCTCTCTCTCCATGCACTTTTCAACTAACGGCTGGTGTTTCTAACCTCCTCACCACTTCCACCGGAGGAGGCTTTGGGTGAATGAAAACCTCCAACATTTTTGTTAGCAACTGACTGTGGTAAGCATTTGAACCACCCAGGGAGGCTACGTAAGCTGCCCCCAAAATGTCAGACAGTCATTATCTGACAAGGAAGGTATCAGAAGCCCAAGACTTGGAGCTCTGTTATATTATTGTTGCTTTTCTGCTGAATACTTCCCTATGAAAGGCTTCACCCTTCAAGTCTTGACTTGTTCACCTATAAAATGTGATTGATGATGATCACCTCAACTCTACCGTATCAACACCTCAATATTCAGGGCAAATCAACACTGGGCTACTGGGGCCACTCCTAATAGGGGTTTCTTATTCTTAAGTGCTGTTGAGTCAGTTCCCACTCATATAGGGCTTTCAAACAGCGACTGGTGAGTCTGAACTGCCAGTCTTGTGGTTCAAAATAACCTCGTAGTCAAGTGTGGTTCCCAGCACCATACAAGTACTCTATAATAGGGGTTATGAAGGAGAAATAGCAGAAGGGCCCATGTACCTACATTTCCCAGGCGTACTAAAGAGGCTTGTTTTCTGCAACGCAGAGCTGCATCCACACGTTCCTCCAGAAAAACTGGCGGAAACGAAACCAATCAGAACTAAACTAAACAAAGCCCTAAGGTCTGGTAGAAATTTTCACTTGCTTCTCTCTCTCTCACTTTATGTCTCTCATCCCTCAAAAAAAAAAAAAAAAAAATCATTTTTATTGTTGTTAAGTGACTTCGAGTCAGTCACAATTCATGGTAACCCCATATAGGGTTTCCAAGGCTGGTGGGTTTGACCCTGTGGTTAGCAAACCAGTGGTTATTCTACAGCACCACACACCAGGACTCGCTAAAAAAAAAAAAAAAAAAAAAAATTGACTTGGATTTACTCCATTTTTTTTTTCTCCCTGATTTGATAAATTACTCTTCAATATATCTGACACTTACTTTGGTGGCTAATAAGATGGTGAATGTATAAACTGGCCCTTCCCCTGTGTAGGCCATTTATCACCCAATCCTTTTTTTTTTTTTTTTTAACCTGATTTGTTGTTGTTAGATACCATCAAGTCGGTGTCGACTCATAGTGACCCTGTGCACAGCAGAACGAAACACTGCCCAATCCTGGGCCAACCTCACTGTTGTTGCCACGCTTGAGCCCATCGCTGCTGCCACTTGGTCAATCCATCTCATTGGGGGTCTTCCTCTTTTCCTCTGACCCTCCACCTTACCTAACATAATATACTTCTCCAGTGACTGGTCCCTCCTGACAATATGTCTGAAGTATGAGAGACGAAGTTTGCCTGATTTAGAAGGTCACATTTATCTATGCTATAATAGCACATGAGGAGCTCTGGTAGCGTAGTGGTTACGAATTGGGCTGCAAACCTCAAGGTCAGCAGTTCGAAACTACCAGCTGCTCTGCAGGAGAAAGATGAGGCTTTCTGCTCCCATAAAGATTCACAGGCTTGGAAACCCTGTACAGGGTTGTTATGGGTTGGTACCAACTCAACGGCACTTAACAACAACAACAAATAGCAGCACATACGCAGAACTCTGTTTCTCAGGCACCTACTCAGTTCCACAAATCTGTCACAGCGTGACAGCAAATGCTACCATGAGCAGCACACTCTCCCACTTACTTCTTGCCCATGATTTTTTAGTTATTTTCTTCCAAGTAAATTTTAGAATACTTTCAAAATTTACTTAAATTATTAAATTTTCTTATCAAAATATTCACTTGCATATAAATGAGTAATTACCATATCTCACTGCATTACTAATATGAGCCGTCACTCATCTGTCAGTTTGCTGCAGTGTGGTGGCTTCTATGTTACTGTTACTCTGGAAGCTACACCACCGATATTTTTATTACCAGCAGGGTCTCATATAGTGGGCAGGTTTCAGATAAACTTCCAGACTAACATCGACTAGGAAGGAGGAGAGATGGACTACTTCCAAATATTTAGTCACTGAAAACCTTATGAATAGCAGTGGAACACTGTCAGCTAGCACCGGAATATTGAATACTGAAACATGGTGAAGAGCACCAGAATATTGTCAGATATAGTCCCGGGAGATGACCTCTCAGGTTGGAATGCACTCAGAATATGACTGGGGAAGAGCTGCCCCCTCAAATAAAGTTGACTTTGATGATGTGAATGGAGTAAAGCTTTTGGCACCGTCATATGCTGATGGAGCACAATTCAAAATGAGGAGAAACAGCTATATACATCCATTAAAAATCGTATTATGGAATGTAAAGATATATAAACCAAAGAAAATTGGAAGTTTTCAAAAATGAAATGGAATGCATAAGCATTGCTATCCTAAGCATTTATGAGCTAAAATGGACTGTTTTTGGTCATTCTGGATCTGACAAGCACATGGTTTACTATGTTGGGAATGGCAAAATGAAGATGAATGGCATCACATACATCATCAAAAAGAACATTTCAAGTTCTATCTTTAAGTGCAACACTGCCTGTGATAGGATAGTATCAATGCAAGGAAGATCAGTTAATACAAATGTCATTCAAATTTACTCACCAACTAAGGCCAGTGATGATGAAATTGAAGAATTCTACCAATTCTTCAGTCTGAAATTGACTAAACATTTAATCAAGATATACTGGTAATTACTGGCGATTGAAATGGAAAGGTTGGAAACAAAGAGATATGATCAGTGGTTGTAAATATGGCCTTGGTGGTAGAAACAATGCTGGAGATTGCATGACAGAATTTTGTAAGACCAATGACTTGTTCATTGCAAATACCATTTTTAAGCAACATAAAAGATGACTATACACATGGACTTCACCAGAAGGAATACACAGAAATTAAACTAACTACAACTGTGGAAAGAGAAAGTAAGAAAACTCAGTATCATTAGTCAAAACAAAGTTGGGGTACACTGTGGAACTGACCATCAGTTGCTCACATGCAAATTCAGGATGCTGCTGACAAAAATTAATAACAAATCCACTAGAGTCAAAGTATGACTTTGAATATATCCCACCTGAATTTAGAGATCATTACAAGAACAGATTTGATGACTGAAGGCCAGAAGAATTGTAGAATGAGATCCAGAACATCATACAGCAAGAAAGCAAAAGGTCACTAAGAAAAGAAAGAAGAAAAGACCAAAATGGATGTCAGAAGAGACTCTGCAACTTGGTCTCCAGCATAGAGATGCTAAAGCAAATGGAACAAATGAAGAGGTAACAAGAGTTGAACAGAAATTTTCAAAGGATAGCTCGAGAAGACAAAGTCAAATATTATAATGAAATCTGCAGGACCTGGAATTAGAAAACCACAGGGAAGAACACACTCAGCATTCCTCAACTTGACGGAACTGAAGAAAACCTCCAAGCCTCATCTTGAAATATTGAAGGATTCTATTGACAAAATACTGAATGAAGCAGAAAACTTCGAATACAGAGAGTCACTGTACCAGAAGGAAATGGTTGATGAGGAAAAAAAAAAAATCAGTTACTCCATGGGGTTTTCAAAAGCTGTGAACTCTTGGGAGCAGATCACCAGATCTTTACTCCAAGGCATCTCAGGGTGTACCTGAACTACCAATCTTTCCATTAGTAGCAAAGTGCTTATTAACCTTCTGTGCCACCCAAGCCCAAACACAGCCAGTATCATCCAGTCAATGCTGAATCACAGAGACCCTAGAGGACAGTGAACTGATCCAGTGATTCCCAAGGGTGCAAAGCTTTAAGGAAGCAGGCAGCTACATGATTCTCCTGTGGAGAGGGTGGTGGATCTGAATAGTTCACCCTTTGCTTAGCAGCCAAGTACTTTAACTTCTATACCACCAGCCAGGGACTCCTAAGTTTTGCACTTACCATGTTATTTGCATGGGCCACTGACTGGGGTGTGAAAATGCTTGGACTGTCTCTGATCAGTACACAGAAAGTCTTTCTACATAATAATAACATCAATCCAGGCAGGAAAAAAAAAAAAAAAATCCTATTCTCTAAGAAACTTTTCTTTTAGGACATCCAGCAAGATAAGTGACTAGGCAAACCGGCTATGAGACCGTCTACAACAAAGACATGAGAGGCACAGCGACCTGACAAATCAGCTCTGCCAGCCCAGGGCCACACCACCGTCCACACAGGTGGGGGCAGTCACACCCTTCTGATGACTAGAAGCATAGTCAGCCTCCACCTTGCACAGCACCTGCTCCACCTGAGTCTGGAGGTGCACCTTTACAAAGCAGGTGCTGGGTATACACCACCCCATGTCAGGAAGTGCATACTGTCTGCCAGCAGGTTGCACAGGACCAGACAGACACTCAAGGGGAGCAGGAATTTCTTCCAGGAATAGTTATTCTGACCCTTGCCAACCTCTGAGCCTAAAGAAACACCTTCCAAAACAAGTACCCTGCCCAGGGCTATCCTTTGAACTCAAGGAACTCCTTCAGGGGCAGGCCAGGCATCATGAACCCAGCCACCTTCTAGGCCAACAGGAATTCTATTCAAGACTGGACATTCTGCCCTCTGTGAATGGCAGACTGGCAACCCATACCAATGTGCTACCTCTAGACACCTCCTCAATTGGAAAAATTGTCCAGTGGCTCCTACCCACTCCTCACTCAACCCACTCCCCACACCCTCCCATGGTTTCCCCTTTCTATTTTTCCCTTTCCTTTTCTTTCTTTTACTTGTTTCTGCTATGTGGTGTTTTTGTTGTTGTTGTTGTTGTTTTTTAATATTCTTTGCTGTTGCGTTTTTGCATTTTCTTTCCTGATTTACTTGTATCTTTTGTTTCCTTCTTTTTCTCTGCTCTTTTTCCCTGCAACCTCCTTTCCCCCTTTACTGTTCTTTCCGCCTACACACACTCACTCCCCCTAGTTTTGGATTTGTGTGTTTGTTCTTTCTTTTGTTCATTCCCCTATTATTTTCTTTTTCTACTTGTTTTTTCCCCTCTTTTCAAAAACATTGATTATTTTGGGGATTTTTTGCAGTTGCTGTTTTTAGTTTATTTCTTCTCTCACTCGGTGGTGGTGGTGGTGGGGGGAAGCAGCTACCATACCCACACTGTCCAGCCACACCCACACATCCTACAGCTCCACTAACTGGGCAATGGTCACCACACATTAATGCACCCCTAAATCAATAGCAGACAACGGCAAGCCATCAGTCTAACTTGCCCTAAACTTTTCTAAATGAACAGCAAACAGAGACCTATGCACACATTTCCATCTTCTATCTCATCTACCAAGAGACAAGTTATGATAGAGCCTAAGAACATAGCAACATACAATTAACAACTAAATACAAATACAAAAACGCCACAATGTCATGGAGAGAGTAGACATGAAGAAACAAGACAGAGTAAAAGAAGCAAATGAGCAAATAACAGAGTCAGAACACCAATAGGTTGAAGAGAAAAGTTTGAGCAAACCAAAGACAAAATCAAGGAAAATACACAGAAAACTCTAGAAAAATTCAGGAAAACACTACAGGAAC